ACATTTTTCTAAAAATTTCTTATCCCTGGAAAAAGAGAACAATACAGCAGGACAGACTAAGGTTATTTGATGCTTCTGACAATATTTTTAAAAAGTTTTCAACCAGCAGTTTCAGTTGTATCTGAAGAATAATACAGAAACATCAATTTCTAGAAGCATAATTATATGATCAAATAAACATTTGTAAGTCAACATAAGAATTAACACCACTTACCTTCTAATTCAATGCATAGGTGGCAGAGCATAAAGAGAGAAAACATAGAAAACAAGATCACTTGGGAAGTTTTATTCACACCTGTGTGCTTATCTATCACTTAAACATTTCTCTCCAGCCCGACCCTCTCCTCTAAGTGCCAGACCTGCACTTACGGAGCCTCTTGAATGTTTCTACACGGATGTCCAATGAAGGACCACTAGAACCAGAAACTCAATTTTGTTCAATAACTTGACTCCATTCATTTGTCCAAATTTTCTTCCATTGCCATATTCCGGTGGAGGAGGGAGTGTTGATATTTTTTTTTTCTGGTGTTATCTCATCACTCTTTCCTTTCATAGTTCCCTTAGCCTGCCTCCCTCTTTTGGTGCTTGCCCATCTGGTGAAATCCTACTTGCCCATCTGGTGAAATCTGAATAATAAGTTTCATCTGAAAATTTGCTGCCTCTTTGACGCCCTTCCTGATGTCACCAGACAGAATTGGCTGTGTTATTTCCTATACTCCACTAACGTCTCTCATTAAAGCGTGCGTCATATGAAATTGTGATTACAGGGTTTGTCTTCTGCATCTCTCTTTCCACAGCCTTTTTTATCTTCCTGAAAGAAGGGAAAATTTTCTATTCATTCATTCATTTCTATTCATTCATTCATCTATTCATCTAGAATTCAGTAAAACAGAAAAAAGCTTGGGGTTGTACGATTAACTTTCCTCTTCTTTCTTCTCTGTGTCTCTCTGACTCTCTCTATATATACATGTATATATCTTATATACAACATATAACACATATATAACATATCTATATCTATATCATATATGGCAGGAAACTTCACTCAGCCAATAAGTAGGTTTAAAAAACTATTATATTTCTAGTTTTTAAAAATAACTATATAAAACTATAAAACAGCCAGGCACGGTGACTCACGCCTGTAATCCCAGCACTTTGGGAGGCCGAGGTGGGTGGATCAGCTGAGGTCAGGAGTTTGAGACCATCCTGGCCAACATGGTGAAACCCTGCCTCTACTAAAATACAAAAATTAGCCATGTACAGTGGTGTGCATCTGTAATCCCAGCTACTTGGGAGGCTGAGGCAGGAAAATTGCTTGAACCTGGGAGGCAGAGATTGCAGTGAGCTGAGATCATGCCACTGCACCGCGGCCTGGGCAACAGAGTGAGACTCTGTCTCCAATAAGTAAGTAAATAAATAAAACTACAAAACTATAGTTTAAAAAATGATATATATATATATGTAGTGATATATATATATATGTAGTTATATATATACAAAACTATAGTTTAAAAAACTGTATAAAACTGTCATTTTAGTCTCATATATAAAGTTGAGTTATATATATTTATATATAGTTTTGGTTTTATATATAGTTTATATATATGTTGTCTCTATATAGACTATATTACTCTACATATAGTTTATATATATATATAGTTTTTTAAACTATATATATAGTTTATATATATATATAGTTTTTTAAACTTACTTAGTGGCTGAGTGACGTTTCCTGCCGTCACACAGTGCAGAGGAGCCCTGCCACCTGGTCGGGGAAGCAGGACTGGGCACATTTATGCACAGAGAGGCGACATCCGTGCTTCACTGTGTCTATACTACTGGCACAGAGATAGAAAGCTGTTGGGTTCCTTTGGGCTGATGTCACAGTGAGAGGAAAGGATTGCTTCCTCTCCCGAGACACACTGTACCCTTCAGCTATGTCTCCTTTCTGAATGTCATTTACTATCTGTGAGTAGTAGATCAATCTCAGTCCTTGACCTGGGTCCTGTCGGTACCAGTACATGGCATTGTGGTTCAAATTCTGTTCACAACTCAGGGTCACATTCTGTCCTTCCTTTCTGAACACGTACTTTGGGGACTGAGTGATTCCGCCATCCACGGTGTCTGGAAAAGAAAGAGGCATGCCTGAAGTACAGGGCACGGAGGTGCCTGATGCTGCGGTCCCTCAGGGAAGCCTTAGATTTGGAACTTGCAGTATTCCAGATAGGAATTTTCTCCCTGAACCCAGGACTCACTTGCTCCAAGGAGACAAAGGACCACACAGCAGAGCACCTGGTTGCTCATAGTGGAAAGGGGGCCTCCCTGTAGCTCCAAGCACTTGTGGGAAGAGAATGAGAAAAGAGGCTTGGCTCTGGGGCTTCTCCTGGCCTTACGTGCAGAGTTTGTTGGTGGCTGGAGCCAAGAGGTGGGAGGTTCCTGGAAATACTCAAGACAGGCTTTCTAATTTTGCAGATGAGGAGACAGGACAGAGAGCAGAGTCATTGGCACCTCCCATAACTCTGCGTTGCATCTGTGCTGAGGGGGCTGGCACCCCACGTTTCCGGGCCAGAGTTTCACTCCAATTGGCCCATTGGTTTTTATCTTTCCAGCGACCATAAGGTTTGGGTTCCTCTAGGAGCGCTGTAGACACTCTGATTATACAAGAATGTGGAATTCATTTTTTTTCCTTTTTTAAAAAAAATAAAAATAAAAACAAAACAGAACAGAAAAACATTGATACATAATGTGTGTACCTATTTGTGGGTACCTGTGGTATTTTGTTACATGCATAGAATGTGTAATGATGAACTCAGGGTATGCAGGAAGTCCATCCTCTGGAGAACTTATCATTGTTTATGCCCTCAGCTCTCTCGGGGTCTGGCCAGTGGTGCTGTGGTCACTGTGACAGCCTTTTGCTTAGCCGTCCTGCTGCACAGAGCCCAGCGCTGCTGTTCTAGGTCCTTCATGCAATCACACCAAGACCTCGCCTCCTTTGACCACCTTCCACCTTCTAACTGGCTGGTTTCACTCACGTCCTTCTCATTCTCCGACTTGTTTCTTTGTCTTTGCCTTTGTCCTGACTAAATTTTCATTTGGGTTTATTCTCCCTTGGTCATCTTTTAATTTATTTTTCATGACTGGGATAATTTTGTCTTTTTCGTTCATGTCCCTCCTGAGTTCAATCAATTTCTTTTTCTGATGTCTTCCCATTTTGGCCATTTCTGGTCTGAGTTTTTGAACTGCTGGTCTGGTTATGGTCACTTATATCCTCAGCTGCTTCCTTGAGTGTATTTATTTCTGTTTGGAGTGTAGACTTACGTTTTCTTCTGCCTCATGATTGCTTTTGAGGTAAGGGAACAGGGAAGAGAGGTGAGATGTTTGCCTTCGTTGTATGGGTATTACTTTCATCTTGCTCATTTTCGTGTTATTGGGGTGTTTTACAAAACTCCTAGTCTAATGTTCCTTTAGCCGTCATCCTAGCAAAATCCAGACTCCTTAGTGAGCTTTGTTTGTTTTCGTAGTGGGGCTGGTTGTGGGTCCTCTTAATTTGTGATTTCCTTTTGTTTTGCAGAATTCTGTTTCCCCCTTTTTTCTCTTTTTCTACTCACTACTGAATTGCCAGAAGACCCTCTTTCTTCCTCTTTGCCTTTTTTCCTCCTCCCTGTAAAGCACTGCCTTTGGAAGACTGTTCCTTTAAATTATATGTCTGGTGTTTTAAACGGCATGAAGTTAGGAATCCATCTTCTCTGCAGCCTTGCTGGGGTCTCAGCGTTGGTCTTTTTCTGGAGATCTCTCTGGATCTTTCTCAGGCTCCCCAGCCAGTGCCCCTCTTCTGTCTTCCTGGAAGATTTTCTGGGTTTTTCTCCTTTTGGGTGAAGTGAGGGAGGGGCAGGAGTACATTAAAGGATTTTAGAAAATCGAAGGGCAAAAACATGCAGTGGAGTCACATGGTTTATACTCCACGCTGGTGAGGCTGGACTTAGCCTGCACATGTATTTGAAATGGCTTTGCTTTTGTCTGCCTTTTCATTTTATGAAATTGTTTCATCAAAGCAAATTATAACAAATCTTTTTCTGTAGGTGGCCTATATCTGTTGAGTGATGAGAATAAAAACAAATATTAACTAAGACAAAAAGTTGAGGTGACAGATTTCTAATGAACAATATCTGTGGGCCAGACCTTTTCCCTAAATTCTAGACAAATTTATCCAACTCTATTTCCATCGTCTCTCAGATGTTCTATAATTTTATAGCAGGAATTCTTGAACCTAGCATCTGTACAAACCTGCACAGCTACTCGGCAATGAGCAGAACAAGGATTATGCCTTAAAGAATGCTAAGCAGCATGATGTGAGATAAAAATCATAACCCTTTGAGCCAAATGCTTTCTGTCACCTTCTAGGTTTCCTT